GCTATATTTTCAATTTTTCAACAAATACAAAAAAGTGTTTCAGAAGTTTTATAAAAATTTATCTTATGCCTCTATAAAATCGAGTATGCAAGTATCAAGGTATATTTTTCGTGATTCAAGTACTAGTTAGATTGAGATGATGTACAAGGTAGATTATAGTACCATGAAAATATAAAACGGAGTATTTCTTTTATAGACAAAATGTTATAAGAACATTGAGAAATAAATGTCATGATATGCTGCTCATCAAGAAACACATTGTGAGCACATACATTAACTATCCAAGACTATTACAGAAGAAAGAAAATCGCCAACAATGAGGTATTTATTATTGATGCACGCTGCATGATGAGCGTCTTTGATCCATATATCTAATATGAGCAAATCCATCTGAAACATACCACGTTTACATCGAAGTTCGGCACCAGCGACGGGACCTAGTGTATCTTGTGGAGAATTTTTTTCTGATTGAAACGTACTGACTGAAAAATCCTGAAGTGATGCACAACTTGACATAGAGTCAAAATACTTTTATGCTCATAGTGGTAAGGTGTTCAGAATAAAAATTCTGACCCCCTTATATTTTTACATGGTTCGATAGAGCTCGCCGAGCTGATTACGAATATCATCTTTAAAATATTTTTAGATCGAGTTTTCCCTGAAAAATCTTCGAAATACGAGTAACACTCAACAACTGGACTTGTAAGCATTTTTCACGAAATTTCAAGATTTTGCTCATTTAGACTAACGGTAAGTTACTGAAACTAATTAGAACTCCACAGTGCGACTCGGTTTTTGGCGCTGAATCAGAATAATCTATTTTCAAAGACTTACTGTTAACCTAAATGAGCGAAATCTTGAAATTTCGTGAAAAATGCTTAAAAGTCCAGTTGTTGAGTTTTACTCGTATTTCGAAGATTTTTTAGTGAAAACTCGTTCTAAAAATATTTCAAAGGTGATATTCGTAATCAGCTCGGCGAGCTCTATCGAACCATGTAAAAATATAAGGGGATCAGAATTTTTACTCTGAACACCTTACCACTCTGAGCATAAAAGTATTTTGACTCTATGTCAGGTTGTGCATCACTTCAGGATTTTTCAGTCAGTACGTTTCAATCAGAAAAAAATTCTCTACAAGATACACTAGGTCCCGTCGCTGGCGCCAAACTTCGTGTAAAAAGTGGTATGTTACAGATGGATTTGCTCATATGCTATTTCAATTTGCAAAGAAATTACCTTGACAAACGCCTGCCAAGCATTGATTACTCTTACAATCCGAATTCTTAAGACATTTTTGACCATTGTTGCATTTTGGACACTTTTGACCACCACAGTCTATTCCAGTTTCATCTTGATTTGAGATTCCATCGGTGCAATTGGAAGATAAAACGAATGAGGAATCATTTTGTATTTTTCTAAATAAGTATAACATGAAAAGTATTCGAATGTGGATATGATTTTGATTGTAGGTATGAGAATGTGTGAATATCGACTTAGCTTCATTCACTAGTATCTATATAACGTATTAAGATTATCACACAATGTTTCATCGGAATTGTTTCTTGTGTGTGACATGAAGAATTGAAGCGTTCAGATAATTTTTTTTGCGATAGTATCTTCAATAGAGCAGTATGTCTTACACTGCTTTAATTTCTTTTTTGTTTACAATTAAGACGATCATAGTGTCAGTAAAGCAATGTTTCTATGATGAGATCTCTGCAGCTCACTTTTCGTCTGCAAAGAATGTATTAATCTCTACGGAAACTTCAAAAAAGTTTTGAAGTCCTTTTAAACACAAAGGTCTGTCAACTTTTACATAAAATATTTCGAAGATGTGTGGAGTATAGAAGAACAATCGATAGTAATTTTTTTATGGAAAGGTAAAGTGTTTGACTAATATCTAGTGTACATCTCATGAAATTGATTTCTTATTCATTCTTCACTAAAGCATTTACTAGAGCGTTCTACGCAACATAATGTTGATAATCATGAAATAATACATTGAATTTCAGAATTTTTATATATTAAAGTATGATTTGTACATACTTATTAACTAACTTAGTTATTATGATGATTTTATTGGAGCACTCATTAGACACATAATACTGTTAAAGTCTATCGAAGTCTTTATACAGAGAAAACATACTAACAAACAATTGAAAAGACCTCGTCGATAATAGAAAGTATAATTGGCATGTAGAGAACTAGAGTTTACGAAGAAGCATGCTGTTTCATGCAACCTCTAATGTTCTATTGAAGTATATGATTTATTTTTCAATGGTTGAATAAAACTAAAAGCCAAATAGATTTTAAAGGGAAGTGTTTAATATTTTTTCTTGATTAAATTACAAATTTTTGATCTTTTAATGTGTTTTTCAGACCTATTGACAAAAGTCGTGGTGAAATAATTCTTCTATTGCGGAGAAAAAGTTTATTATAGATAGATTAAATGTTCTTTTACATAGATGAAGTTTCTTCAAAATTGGGCAGCGAAGACCGCTATATTCTGCCAGAAGACATTCCTTCAAGCATATACAATACAAGAGATGATTCATATCAATAAAGATCACGGTCGATTAAGCTGACACAATTCAACGTTTTTATAGCAAGATCAGAGGGTGTGGATGTGTGTGAGTATCCTGCTCAAGATTCTATGGCTGGGTGGATTTCACGAATTTGGGTGTGGATGTGAGTATGACTGAGGGTGTGTGGCTGGAACTGCGTGGATACTAGTGTCCCGGGTGTATGAATGGATGTTAATGTGAGTGCCGATATGCGTGTGAAAGTGCGTGGGTCTTTATTAAACATAGACAAATTATTCTGAAAGACCAGGGATATGTGATTGTATTGCTAATAATTAGGTTTTAAAGCACCTGTTTATAAGAGGAGAAAGTCAGAAAAAATGATGTAAAAACAGCCATGGAAAATAGACTAAATTCGTATAAGCACACTATTCGACCCATAAAAACTTGCAATTCTATTATTTTAAATTAAGGTAAATACATTTTTGTAGAGAATTGAATTGTGCCTCTTTCAAAGCTAAATTCAAGATTTTATCTTTTTTCTAAACGGAGATATATGAAAAATACCAAATGTCGGAAACCTTTTGCTCCACCCAGTATATATTGTGCTCTATAACGGGCAAAATTAAGACGATCCTAACTTTCGAAAGAAGCAGTTTGTACTCTAACGCTTTCAGGGTTTTTACTATGATATTATGTAGTATCTGCAGATGATGATTCATTGAAATCGTCATAGGGCACCTGAAAATGTTTCCTCGTTAGTGCATATCTAATCTATTAAAGCAACACAGTTTCTAAATAATAAATTCTTCACTAAATCATTCTGATTAAATATTTAAATCGCTCGCCTCAAAATAATTGGTCACTCATAAACATCAGTTAAAAGCAGTTTAGAATGTCCTTTATAGATTTGTTTAGCTTTTTATTCATACTAAAATAGCATAAAGAAATTACATAG